GTATTTTCTGGCAAGATTAGTTTCCGCCGTGGTCGGTGCTTCTCTTAAATTTTGCGATGTTTCGTTTCGTGTAGACGAAAGCTCGATTTTGGTTTTAGTTTCAGCATTTTGTAAGTTATTCTGGTTAGTTGAATAATTTGTTGTTGGAGTAAGTAAATTACTGGGAACTATGTCTTCAACAAGTTCCAATACTTGGGGCTTTGTCTCACTAGAAATGCAGACTTGTGTTTGATTAGCCGCTTCTAGTTCAGCTATTTGGTTGTTTTGTGACGCATCTTTCGTATAATCTCCAAACGACTGTAGTCTTGAATAACCAAAGTCATGATTTTGGAGAGAGTTTAGCCCTCTACATACACAGCAACCGTTTAGGTTAGAAGAACCATTTTCTTTTTCAATTATTTTCGGTGGTAATTTCTGCAATTTCGTATTCGGATCGTTTTCCGATGTTTTAGTTTCCATATCTTCGCGTTGATGGAGCTCAGATTCGCAGGCTTTCGTGATATCATTATCTGTTGATGTCGTTTTATCCATGATTACACACACAACACACCGGCTTTGTCTGCCCGTCGCCTCGTCTTGAGGGTACGTCGTAGTGTTGAAATGTAAGCCTTTCAGGAGCCATCGATGCTTGCGAAGAACTCTCAAAATAAACGCGTAAAGTACCACCAATGATATCATCTCTGCTAGGAAAGCAACACACAGAAATGAGTTATAAATAATCGGGAAATTCGTGTTCTTGAAGTTGTCGGAAAACGTGCAGTCGTGTCCGGTTATTCCGGGAATTTCCGTCTCGACGGTGCGGATGCCGTAAAGAACCGGTTCCGGCCAGGCAAGGAGGAGGGACACGGCTACGACGGGGATCAGAGAGAGCTGAGCGTGCCGGATGGTCATTTGAGGTTCGTGATGCCGGCAGACTTTCCGGAACCGGTCGACAGCTATACAGAGCAGGGTAAGGCAGGAGGCGAGTGATGAAAAGACCAGAATGAATCTAAATAGATAAATAAATAAGACATGTTTTAGTGTCAATTTGTGCAAAAATTGTTCATTAATTATTGACCACTTAAAGTTTTATGAGTAATAATTATTCGTTGTCTAAACGTTATTCAGAACATCGATCACAGAAACAAGAAGGATCACTGTTAAAGAGATTTTAAAACGTTCCCTTGTCAAACATGACGGTCTATATAGCAAGTGAAGTAGAGATGGCTTGTTTCTGTGACCTCGGAATATGAAGAGATAGTGTGATCAGCAGTATGCCCAGCCGCCTTTGCTTTCCCTAACGTGAGTTAGGTACCCATCAGAGTTGGGTGGACTCAGAGACGGTCTACAGACTTGAACCAGGATTCGAACTCGAGACTTACGGATTAGCAATCCAGCTCTCTACCGCTAGACCACTCCGTCCGTTAAGGAAATTATTTCTTTATTATCTTTTCAGTTCCTTTACCAAGATACGTGGGGCAGATGAAGTAAAGTTCATCTATTTGAATGGCATCAGGATAGTATGGTCAGCACTATGCTCAGCCAATTTAGTTTCCATTACGTTAGTCAGGTACCCACTAGAATAAGCTGTACTAAAGAACAACCAACAGAATCAAGCCCATCAGATCTGGGTGGACTAAGGGACGTTTTACGGACTTGAAACCAGATTCGAACTCGAGACATTCGGGTTAACAAACGCATGCTCTTCCATCCAACCACACCGTCCAAATTAGAAAGATTTACCAGACCTCAAAGACTTGCAGACGATGACGTAGGTGTGCTTGTAGTAGAGAACCATGTCGACGATCTCTCCAGGCATGGAGACGAAACAGCCGATGACGTCAAACACTGCCAGACAGACGATGAAGAAATTCTGGGTTGTCATCTTTAGTCTAGAAATGTTCAAAAGTTTAAGTGTTTTTTAATTATGGCGATTAAAATTAAACATTTTTGTATTCGTTTTTTTTTAAACAAAAAAAAAACTAAAAAAGAAAATAGTTGAAAACGCGCAATATTTGCGAATATCAGCGATAGATTTTTGTAATATACAACAGGTCAGTTTTCGCACAGCAGATAACAGCGTTCTCTCGATAGTCGAGGCTCAACTAAATTATATCTCTTGTACCAGAGTAAACAAAATAAGAACTTGTCTGGTACACAAAGGGAAATAACTTGTGGGTTAAACAAAGGGAAATAACTTGTGGGTTAAACAAAGGGAAATAACTTGTGGGTTAAACAAAGGGAAATAACTTGTGGGTTAAACAAAGGGAAATAACTTGTGGGTTAAACAAAGAAAACAACTTTTTCGGTAAACTAAGGGAAATAACTGTTTTGATAAACAAAGTGAAATAATTTGTCTAACAAAGGTGAAGCAGGTTAGAAGTTTGAAATAATTCGAGATTTAACACGTAATTCATTAGGATGAGCGTTCGACACTTAACACGTAAGTCTCGAGTTCGGATCCTCACGGCTCCAGTTCGTACGGCGTCACTGAGTCCAGCCAGCTCTAATGGGTACCTGGCTCACGTCATTGAAAGTAAAAACGGCTGAGCACACTATCCCTACATATGCCGAGGTCACAGAAACAGATGCATTTTATTTCACATAGCCTATGGATCGTAAAGTTTAAAATGTGTACTTTACTTTATATCTGAATAATATTGTCTGTTAAAAATTTTCGTTCAATAACAAACTTTTTAGTAATTATACAGGATTTGTAATCACAGACAAAAGCGGCTGAACTTAAAATTTGTAAAACACAAATAAATTCCTAAGCCTGAGGCCAAAAATACTTGATACAAATAGTTATATCAACAGACATTTTGAGAGTTTTGAACGTGATGTTTCAATAAGACGCCACGATTCCTCGCATATGTGACAATACGTGAACCAATAGAGGCTGAACGGAGATCAACTTTTTGAACAAATAGTGATCTATTGTTGCGGATATGAACGGATGTTGTATCAAGTTCCTGGTTTAAAATAGTGTATTTTTGTTCATGTTTATGTTCATTTTTTGACAGTGTTTCGCGATACATAGATTTATATGGTTAAGAGTTTTAAAATCAGTCATTGGGTTGTTAATTTTTTTTTACTCAAAAAACTAATGAACATATTGAAATAAACGTATTTAAAATTAAGGATGTCCATCCAGGTATTAAAATCTACCTGAGCCTGTTTGTATACTCAAAATCTTAATGCCAGACTTACCTGTACATAAAGATGTACAGCACGAGCAGGTTACCCACAATTCCTGTAGCGATAAGGACAGCAATGAACACCAGAGCCGGGGTCAGTCTGCTGACCACAGCATCGTTGACGTCATCAATCCCATCATTATATGGGCTCGTGGTATTCCCGCTGACGTTAGGGCTGGTCATTTTATCGGTGTGGAAATCACAAAATATCACCTGTGCTTCACATTAAATTTATTTTATTTAAAACAAAAAATTGAAATTAAAATTTGAATGTGAAAATTCATTTTTTTTAAATGTTAAAAAAGTTTTTTTAGTCTATAGTATATAACAAATGTTAGGCTAGGCTATCTATATTTCATAGAATTTAAAAGTAAGGAATAAATATACCAGAAAACTGAAAATAAAATATTACACGAAAATTACAAACCTTTTTGTTTTCTGATCAATTCGACTACAATATGTGTGAATAGTTCTCGCTATAGCGCCAAAATATTATAAATAAAATAATAAAAGTCATTCCGATTCTACTACAAGATGATAGTCCACCTTCCCGATTCCTTTTTTAATACTCGTCTTAAACAAAGGCGAGATATACATCTGGGGCTGTCAGTGTTACTAAATTTAGATTTAGCCTTGAAACATTTGACAGTCAGATGTAAAGAGGCGAAAATTGATATGTTTGATTAGGGTAGAAAAAATAATGTTTCTCATCTTGTGGTTATGGTTCTTGGCTTGGTTTGGTAAAATAAAAAGGTTATACGGTATAGAGAGGAACGAAACAAAAACAGGAAGGTTAAGTTGTGTTATTCTTATACACACAGACACACATACAGACAAACACACACGCCTGTACTCACAAAACTACAAGCATACAGCCGATACAGCATCTAACTCTCAGATACATATATACGTTAATTACACACACATAGCCATAGACACACGCACACACACACAGACAGACACACAAACGCACGTGCGCACAAAATCACATGCATACACATCGAGACAGCTACTAACTCTCAGATGAGTTGAGTGACGTATTCCTTTGTGGCCCCTGGGGAGCAAAATGCTGCAACCACACCTCTCCACCTGACTCGGTTTTGGGCAGCTCGCCTTATATGCGTCCATAACACATCCACAATTATTCATGCACACACATACATCCACATATACACTTATACACGTTAAAACACAGTGTCATACGTATAAACATATACTCTAAACACACATACATGCTTACACACTTAGACAAACAGAATTACGGACATACACTTCACGTGTATCCACTTTTAATTACTTTTTGCTACATACATTTTTAAATTGTTGTAAAGAGTTAAAATATATGGAGTTAAAATAATAAACATTCGAATTTGTAAATATGTACAACTAATGCAGTAAACACACTTGTTCGTCTTTGGTTATAAAACGTAACTATACATATATAAAGCAATGATTGTTTGTTCTGTGCGTGTGGCTGTTTGTTTTATGCGTTACTACACATTTTATCCGACCGCCATGAAACTTTGGGAAGTTGTTGAAAATACTCCTGAAAAGATTGATGCGAAAAAAAATTCAATTTCTCAAGGGCGGCGCCCCGGCAGATAGCAATTTGGCGGCCAAGGGTTATCCAATGAGTGCTATAGCACTTACGTTCGTTTTAAACAGTGCGATAGACTATAAGATGGGGCGTTATAGTCGTTCACTAAACTGAATCAGGCGCGTCCGCCGACGCCTTGGTAGGGTGCGATTTGCCCCGGGCTTTCTTCTAGCCTCGCGGCAACGCACGGGGACGGGCATTCAAGTTTTGTATTTAAAAAAAAAATACTATCTGGAGTTACATCCCTTCCCCCGGCAACATAACTTCCTGGCCAGATTTTTAACTTCCTGTCTGAACTGAAGGTTAAGGACGCCGTAAATCACCGGATTGACGACAGCGTTGAGAAAGATTGACCTGACGATGATGTTGTACAGCACCACCAACGGCCCGTTTCTATCGTCGATGGAGTGAACGAGTTTCGCCACTTGAAAAGAGAGGTGGGGGAGGTAACTCACGATGAAGGCCAGCGTCACAACGAAGGCAATGAGAGTTGTCTTGGTGGTGATGTTATTTTTAAACCCGGGTTGATTCGTCTGTGCCTGGCGTTTGTTTTTGTTTTTTTTCTTCGGGCTGCACGCTAGTTTGGGTGAGCTGATCGAGAATATTCCATTCCCTGGGCTACTTGGCGGGATTAACATTGTTGTGGAAATCCGGTTTTGTGCAATATCATCTAATTCCCCGAAAGCCGAATTCAAAGCCAAATTTAAACTATTCACGGATATATTGCTAAGCGAAGCGCCGAATATTTTCGCATTGGACTCTGCCAAACTTTCCCTCAAAGTTATTTCTTCCACGTCTCGCGAATCTTCGACCGCCCTTGACCTACTTTCTTTATCTCGTGATCCAAAGTCCAAACCCGCCTTCGTCATCTCAACATTCATTTCATTAACCTCATTAGCAACACCTGTCAAACCACGTTCACGTTTTTCTCCCTCATTCAATATTGAACATTCAGTTTTGATGTGTGTTGTTTTATCAGCCAACACCCATTTCGCACATAAAGACGCGCTACTCAACAAAACAGCTCGAGGCTTTTTCCGTTTTCGATTCTCTCCCTTCGATTCTTCGTGAAACAACACCATGTTAAAATTACACTGCTTCATATATTTCCGATGCCTCCGGAGCGTTTTCAGCATCAGAGCGTATAGAATCACCAACACCACAATCTCAGATAAAAAACCTACAAACAAAAACATATTATATATCAAAGGAATCGCCGTATCTTTCACATCATCGGAAAAGGTACAATCGTTTCCTGTAAGTCCGGGAATTCCGGTTTCGATCGTGCTGATTCCGTAGAGGATGGGCGCCGGAAATGAGAAGAGAAGGGAGCCGACTATGATGGGGAGGAGACAGAGTCTGGCGTGTCGGATGGTCATCTGGCGTTTGGACGGCTTGCAGACTTTCCGGAAACGGTCGACGGCAATGCAGACCAAGGTTATACTGGAGCAGAGTGAGGAAAACACGACGACGAATCTGAAAGGAAATTCTTCCAATTAGATAATTTATGAAATTAGATATTTTAATTAGACAATTTTAAAATTAGTTATTTTAATTTGATAATTTATTGAATTAGATATTTTTGTTAGATAATTTAGGACATTAATATTTTATTACATAATTGTTAATAAGATATTTTAATTAGGTAAATTATGAATTCATATATTTTAATTAGATAAATTATAAATTATATATTCACATATTTTAATTAGATAATATTTAAATTAAGATATTTTAATTATATAATATTTAAGTTCATATATCTTAATTAGATAATTTATATACTCAGATATTTTATTTAGATTATGAATTCATATATTTTAATTAGATATTATATGGATTCAGATATTTTAATTAGATGATCTATGAATTCATATATTTTAATTAGATATTTTATGGATTCAGATATTTTAATAAGATGATCTATGAATTCATATATTTTAATTAGATATTTTATGGATTCAGATATTTTAATAAGATGATCTATGAATTCAGATATTTTAATTAGATAATATATGGATTCAGATATTTCAATTAGATAATAGTTCAATTCAGATATTTTAATTAGATCATTTATGGATTCAGATATTTTAATTAGATTCTGTGCTACATTAGCTACTGCGTGTTTTTAAAGTTGCCGACAATTTAAAAAAAAAAATCACACATTTTAGATAAGAGAATTATAACAGGCCAATCAATCGCATCCTTCTGTATCTTATCTTTAGACGCACGCGCCACTGTTTTTAAAAATAGAGTTCATAGAATATTTTGAGTTCTCATGCACCGACAAAACACTCGCTCCAAGGCTGATATTTAAATTTCTTAACAAATCTGTACAATTCTGTAACCAGTCTAGGGATGGGGATGGTCATGGAAATGGGAATGGGGATGAGGAGGGATCCTTGCGGTATAATTTAAATAGATTAAGCACATACAGACCAGACTCTGAGACAGTTTTAGAGCAGATGAAGTAGAGTTTACCTGTGTGGCCTCGGCATATAAAGCGACAGTGAGATTACTTCTATGCCCAGCAGCCTTTACTTTCCCTAACATGCGCTGATATTTGACTTGACTTATCTTTTTTGTGAGTAAAAGTAAAAATCTATTTAATGCATTACTAGCCGGAAATACCTGGCGCTTTCCCAGTTAGGGGGTCGTCCATAAATGACGTCACACTCGTAAGGGGGAGAGGGGTCCGTAATTTTGTGACGGTGTGTGATAAAAGGTGGGGGGGGGGGGGTGGGTTCAGATGTTGCGACGTCACATTTTTGCATTATAAAAAAGCAATGTTAGAAAACAAATTTTAGACGTTATTTTGCGTTTTACAAAACTGTTTTAATAAATTGTAATAGGAATTCGATTAAAATACTCTATTTTGACAGAGTTCAGACAAGATTTTGGAAAAAAATATCGATGTTTAAAAAAAATTCAACTGCAATTTTAAGGGGGGGGGGTCTGGCTTTTTGTGACGATGTTTGACGGAGGGGAAGGGGGGGGGGTAAAAATCATCAAAAAGCGTGACGTCATTTATGGATGACCCCCTTATGACCTCTACATATAATTGTAATTGTAATCTCTGTATGTGACTTTATCTGCAGGAGACAATATATTTTCGTTTGACAATGCTGTCCACCCAGCTCTGATGGGTACCTAACTCACGTTAGGGAAAGTAAAAGCGGCTGGGCAAAGTGATGACCACACTATCTCTTCAAATGCCGAGGTCACAGTAACAAGTGAACTCTTCTTCACTTGCCCCGTAGACCGTCAGGTTCGAAAGGGAACTTTACTAGTTACTTGACAATGTTGTACCAAACACTTTATTAATTTAATTGTTGAGTAGTGTAACGAAATACTGAATCTTATCCGTCCCCTAATCCTCCATGAAAACCGAACTCAATATTAACTAACTAATTAGCGGATTAAAAAAAAAGGCAGTAGATTAAAAGAAAAGAAAAAAGTAATGAATCCTATTTACACTGGGCAGATGAAGCAGAGTTCATCTGTTTCTTGACCTCGGAAGGTGTGGTCAGCACTTTGCCCAGCCGACTTTACTTTCCCTAACATGAGTTAGGTACCCATCAGAGCTGAGTGGACTCAGGTACGTTCTATTAACTAAGACCCGGATTGGAACTCCAGACTTTCGGGTTAGCAACCGAGCGATTAAAAAACCCCAGCAAATATTATGGAGACTGACAGACCTCAAAGACTTGCAGACGATGACGTATTGGAACTTGTAGTAGAGAACCATGTCGACGATCTCTCCAGGCATGGAGACGACACAGCCGATGACGTCAAACACTGCCAGACAGACGATGAAGAAATTCTGGGTTGATAACTTTAATCTGGAAAAAAAAAGGTTGTGAAATATTTTTTTACCATCGATTGAAGAAGATTAGGATTAAGATTATATTTTAGCAGGCCAGCGTGTCAAGACCGAGCCTGCTATCTTTCAACTACCTGTTCATAACGAAGGTTTAACCTTTAACCACGTGATAGTCTCAATGTCGCTGAGAAAATTGATTAGTTTAAAGAAAAAATTAACTGTTGTTTTACGCACTTCATTGAACAATGCACTTAAAGTTAGGTCCAGAGATTAAATGCTTTGTTATCACATTTCATAAAATAAGGAAATTAAAATTGGTAAAATATGTTGAAATAATTAATACAGATTTAATTTTAAAATAGAGAAATATAACAAAAACGAATAAAAATAACGTTTGGTGATATTAAAAATGAAACAAAAAGACCATTAAAAATAACGAATTATTAATTTTAAAATTAAGATATTACTATGCGATTAAAAACAACGAATATTCATCTTTAGATTTCGGATATTAAATAAAGAGCAATTCAATATAAGAATTATTGCCTTAATTAAGATATTAAAGTATTATAAAAATTAAATAAGTATTGTCTTCAAAATAAGGTCCTTTAAATTGGATACAAATAACGAATTATTTATTATTATTTATAATTATTTAGTATCTAATTTTAATATATAATCAATCTACCTGTAGACGAAAATATACAGCACAAGCAGATTACCCACAATTCCTGTAGCGATAAGGACAGCAATAAACACCAGAGCCGGGGTCAGTCTGCTGACCATTGCGTCGTTGACGTCATCAATCCCCTCGACTGCTGTTGTATTCCTAAAGATTCTCGTTGTTGCCATTCTCACGACTTCACCACACTTCGATAAGAATAGCGAACTCCAACCAAACAAGGTGAACGGGTACCAATAGAATGCCAAGGGTATCTCGACTTGGATTAATTATTTACCACTTTTTAACGATTTGATTATCGAAATGATCCAATCCATTATTGAAATAATGAAAATTTATAATTGTTCATGCATCAACTGATTACATTTAGGCTTCACTTCAAAACATAACTTGAGTTTTTGTATAATTTTATGTCAAGTCAACTATAACCTCCACTGAAGACATTGCGTGCCGAAACAAAAAAAAAGCACATCAATTAACACAGGAGAATGATCAATTTTCTGAGAAATATCAAATGACGAGATGGCGCCCTGTTATCTTTTCAAGTAGTCCGCGCGCAGCGATACCATGAAATGTAACGAGCTATTTCCGTCGCATCGGAAAAAATCTCCGCTACCTAATGGCGATTGTAGAAATGGACCATTTACTAAAAAGGTAAAGGTGTAGGGGTAAAAATAATGTCAGCAATATATATATATATATATATATATATATATATATATATATAAATATAAATATATATATATATATATATATATATATATATATATATATATATATATATATAAATATATATATATATATATATATATATATATATATATATATATATATATATATATATATATATATATATATATATATATATATTTATATATATATATATATATATATATATATATATATATATATATATATATATATATATATATATATATATATATATATATAAATATATATATATATATATATATATATATATATATATATATATATATATATATATATATATATATATATATATGAAGACCACTTGCCTTTTAAGCAGTACTACACCGTACTTCTGATCGCCCTGACCATTTGTTGAGAGGTTTCTGCGATGAAAAAAAGTTTTCAGAGGAGCGATACCCAGTCAGTAGGGATCCGTTCAGAGCTCCCCAGCGCTTGTGATATGCTCAGGGAGACTGGGGTACTAGGCTACTTGTTTCGAAGATGAAACTGCGCCAGGCGCATCCGCGGGCGCCTTGATGGTCGGAAGACCCGGAATACCCAAGACTCCCTAGCGAGCTTCATGGCGCCTACGTTCGTTTTAAAAAGTCGCGGAGGTGCGTTCTATTACAATTACAAAATGTGTCTTTACTTAACGATTAGAGGCGTCTGGGCGGTAGGGTGAAAAAAAGCGGCGCCCGAAAAAGTAATACGGTTTTAGTATATATATATATATATATATATATATATATATATATATATATATATATATATATATATATATATATATATATATATATATATATATATGTGACCTTCCCCGAGTCTATCCTGCCCGACAACGCCAATTGTAACGAGTTGAACCACTCATGCTACACAACATCGACTACAGTAGAAAGACTCGAAGATGCAGGTTCGCTATTGATCCTTTTATTACATGAATCAAGAAATGCTTCAATATAACACAATGAATCAACAGGAATGTTTCACAATAATAGTCTGAATCAACTGACCCCTACAGTCCTCACTAGGCTTCATATAACTGAATCCACATGTCTATTGTCCTTCTTAACACAATATAACCAACTTGATATGTCACACAGACTGACTGATCTAAAGCGAGCGATGAAGAGGGAAGAGGGCGAGTTCAGGCGTCCCCTCCTATTTATGCCTTGTATCCGTACTCGTCTTCGTACTTGTATTCCTCCGTAATCGATCCTTGTACTCGATGTCTCCGACCACTAGTTGCGCAGTTCTAACTTACAGTCCGTGAAATAACATCTGCATCCTATCAATCAAAGTTGACAGGCCGTCTGAATCCCCTTGTACCGTTTCCCAAAATAGCACGCGTTGGCTTTGAGATTGTTATCAGTCCGATCCAATAAGCCACCTGCTATGTTGCGTCAGACTGAAATACTGCGTCTCGGCTTATCGTTCGTTATCAGATTTGTAACTAGTAGCTAGGCCTACCCTAGTCACATCCACCCCTGCCTTTTTTGTGTGTTTTCAACCACAAACAACGCCTGGCAGGTGCAATCCTCCAAAGTCAATCGCACAATCGTAAAAAAAAATTTTATTGTTCCACTCACTGTCCACGACTTCCCATTCGTATACGATTGACAGTTATACCTATTTCACATATCAACTGTGTCTACATCATCTTCCTGAGACACAAAACAGTTCTAGAATTCACATCCACCCTTTTCGTTTGGTGCCTTCACCAGTTCACTTTTATAGCTTTTTGAACCGTCTGTTCTCATACCAGCGCGACCATGAAAGACTTGATGGTTGCTGACAAAAAATTTCGTCTTCCTTCTGTTCCTCAAACTTCTCCGCGGACCACTTATCTGATGGTCTACTGTCTCTCTGCTTCTGGAAGGAACGGGATCCTCTTTGTTGCCGTTATCCTCCACTTGTGTATCGCGGTTGTTCTGTTGATGGTGATATGGTTCCGGGATGGGTATGTGAATTTCCGTTATAGTTTCCGGTTCCCTAATTGTCTTGGATTTCCTTGTGTGTAACTGCTCTTCTTGCCTATTCCAATATTTCTTTAATTGAGCAATATTCGCCCACCGATCCGGTTTGGCGTGATCGATGGGTCTTATCTTAAAGGGGCCACCTGCTACTCTAGGCATCTCCACGACTTGCCATATCTCCTGTCCTAAGAGGTCGTGGATCTTATTTCTGCCTAACGGGTGGCTACGCAGTAATACCCTGTCATTCAGTTTGAGTGGCGGGTCCTTTGTCTGTACCGGCGGTTCCCTTCGCCGTGCTTCATGTTCTAGTCTTTCCTGTACTACCCTGTACATTTCTCTAATTCTTCTCATGTGTTCATTCACATATTCCAGTGCGGTGTATGAGCCAGTCATACTCTCCCTTTTTCCTAGGAACAAATCAAGAGGGAGTCGAGCCTCCCGTCCGAACAGCAACATGTATGGCGAAAAGCCGGTTGTGGCATGGGGTGTGCAGTTGTATAGATATACCAACTCTGGGAGAAAATCAGGCCAACGTTTTTTCTGTTCAGGTTCTAGGGTACGCAGCAAATCATGCATGCTGCGGTTGAACCGCTCGCACTGTCCGTTTCCTTTCGGATTAAATGTGGTTGTTCTAGATTTGTTGATCCCGTAGTGGCTACACAGTTGGTTGATTACTTCTGACTCGAAGGCCCTTCCTTGGTCAGAGTGTAATTGTCTTGGTATGCCATATTTGATGAACCAATGTTCTATTAATACCTTTGCCACTGTTTTGGCAGTCTGATCTCGTGTGGGCACCGCCACAGTCCATTTGGTGAATACATCAGTCATTACCAACACATGTTCCGTCCCATCCGATGATTGCTCCAACGACGTAAAGTCCATAGCCACAATCTCTAGTGGTTTTGTCGCTAGTAGGTGTCCTGATGGCTGTCTCATTTTGACAACTGGCATTTTCGCATGCTGACACCTCACACAAGCCTCACAATGGCGTTTGAACTCCATTTCCATATTGGGCCAGTAACACCTCCGTCGTAATATTTTGTGCGTCCTGTCCTGACCCTGGTGTCCTGCCCTGTCATGTGCCAACCTTAGCACTTCTTCTCGTAACTGTCCAGGCACCACCACCTGGTGTATTGTCCCATCAATTTGGTCATGAATTCTCCGCATGAGAACACCATCCTCTATACTGAGACGGTCCCACTGACTCAGTATTTTCTTTGTTTCGCGACCAAATTGTTCTCTTTCCCTTCTTCCTGGGAATTTTTGTTCCTGGACGTATTTCAATAGCGGTTGTAAGCCACTATCCGTTCTCTGGGCATCTCTTATCTTTTGGTGATTAAGGCCGTTAAAATCACTACTGTCCATAAGTCCGGGCTCTGTGGATATGTGCTCCACCCCGGTCTGCCCGTTTTGCATCACTTGCACCCCGTGAGGGATATCTGTTGACGCTCTGACCTCACATATTCCTGTCAGCGTTTCTTCCTCATCACCCGGTCTCTCGTAAGGATTCCTTGATAAGGCGTCCGCATTGCCATTGGACCGCCCCGGGCGATACTTTATCTCTAGGTCAAAGAGTGCCAATTCTGCTGCCCATCGCTGTTCGATGGATCCCAGCCTTGCTGTACTTTGAAGTTCTTTTTCAATATCGGATAATTTCTCTTCAAGTCTTGTTTGAGACTCTTTCATTTCTTCTAGTTTGCCAACACTGTTCTGTTGTCTACTATTTTTATTTACTTCTTCCGATAACAGACACTCTAAAGATGAACATTTCTCCTGTGCTTTTAATTTGCATGAACTTTCCCTATCCAGTTTCCTGGTTAACATTGAGATCTCATTCTTAAGTCTACCAATTTCTTCCTTATCATCATTTTTCTTAGCCAACAAATTGTTCACTTGAAACTTTTCAACATTCAAGTTCATTTCACAGTTCATTTTTTCCATTAGTTGTGTTTTACCTTTCTTTTTCTCCTTACTGTGTTTCTTTGTCATTTTATTTACCAAGTCATTACCTCGCCGCTCTGTAGCCTTGACCTGCCTTACAGAGGGCGATCGTTTCACCGGACAGTACGGTGCCATATGTCCGGGTTGTGAACAGGACAAGCCAATTGGTCGACCGTCAGCCGTCCACCGGAGCGATGGAGCGGCAGGTCGCGGCTGTCCAACCTGTCTCTGTTTTGTCCCGTTTTTGCCCTGATTCTCAGCTGTTGACCTGCTTTCTAACCTCTCCAATCGTTGGTCAACCTTAACCAGGTGGGCCAACAGTTGAGCCATCATGGTCTCCATCGTGTCGGCCCCTGTGGGTGGGGATTGTCTCTGTTCAGGCACAGAGACTTTGTCCACCGAACAGTTCGATTGGTCCTCATCCTCGGACCTGCGGATCGCTGAGTTCCTGACCTGAAGGAAGGTCAACTGCGGGTCTTTGTGGACCTCCTCTTTCAACTCTCTTCTTAGGATCGGGGTTGCTAGCCCCTCGATGAAATGGTCCCTCAGTAGGCGCACATCAATGTCAGGTGTTTTGCCCTTTACCGAATCAAAGGCCCTGTTCATCCGATGTGAGTACTCCATCACACTCTCCGCCATTCTCTGCCTTATACCTACAAACACCGTTAGCAGTTGCGAACCCGACCGTCTCTCCCCAAAGGTCTCCATAATCAGATCCAGCACCTTATCCGGATCTGATTGGATGGTTTTATCGTGGCATTTTACCTCTGCCCTGACCGTCTCTCCTATACTTCCCATCAGCAGTCTTAATCTTTCCTCTGGTGACATGCATCTCGAGGCCCAGGCAGCCCTGACCTCTTCACTGAACCTGTTGGTTAAAGTTGGATTACCGTCCCCGTAAAATTTGTTGATGTGGGACTCACTGGGCAGGACCACAATATGGATCGGCTTTTTGTCCAAATTTTGTCCTGGTCCCTCTGGAGGCAAAGGGTCATCTTTACCGTTGCCTATCTTATCTGACTCAGATTGTTGGGCCAGCAGGAGTTTTTGTTCCTTTCCGATATCTAAAATATCACTCCCGCGTCTGCCACTCACACCAAGGAAAAATGTTGCAGCTATGCAGCAGATAGTGTTGCCCAAAAGGGAGATCATGACACATTTCCAGTGTCCAAGAGTTACATCCATATCTTGGTTGCCATCTTTGCCCAGTATTTGTCCAACAACCCAGTTGGAGATACCAATGACAATTATCTGGATGCTGGTGGTCAGCCCCATAGCTGTCCCCAGGGTAGTTGGTGCTACAACTAGGGGTATACTGAGCCACATGCTTGCAGCAGCAAAAGAGCATGTGACACCAAGCCAGAATGATAATGAAAGGTGTCTCATCTCTGTTCTTTTTAATTTCCTCGATTCTGATTTCAGTTTTCCCTTTTATTTATTTCCTTCAAATAAAAAAAGACGTTTCTTACCGTGTGTGTATGAAAAATTTTTCCTCGTTCCTCAATTTTCACAGTTCCTGAATGTCCGAATTCACACACACACTAAACACAGTTATGCACAAGGTTGACTATGGGTGCCTAAATCGGCAAGTCTAGTTGAATTCATCCTGATCGCAGCGCAAAATGTGACCTTCCCCGAGTCTATCCTGCCCGACAACGCCAATTGTAACGAGTTGAACCACTCATGCTACACAACATCGACTACAGTAGAAAGACTCGAAGATGCAGGTTCGCTATTGATCCTTTTATTACATGAATCAAGAAATGCTTCAATATAACACAATGAATCAACAGGAATGTTTCACAATAATAGTCTGAATCAACTGACCCCTACAGTCCTCACTAGGCTTCATATAACTGAATCCACATGTCTATTGTCCTTCTTAACACAATATAACCAACTTGATATGTCACACAGACTGACTGATCTAAAGCGAGCGATGAAGAGGGAAGAGGGCGAGTTCAGGCGTCCCCTCCTATTTATGCCTTGTATCCGTACTCGTCTTCGTACTTGTATTCCTCCGTAATCGATCCTTGTACTCGATGTCTCCGACCACTAGTTGCGCAGTTCTAACTTACAGTCCGTGAAATAACATCTGCATCCTATCAATCAAAGTTGACAGGCCGTCTGAATCCCCTTGTACCGTTTCCCAAAATAGCACGCGTTGGCTTTGAGATTGTTATCAGTCCGATCCAATAAGCCACCTGCTATGTTGCGTCAGACTGAAATACTGCGTCTCGGCTTATCGTTCGTTATCAGATTTGTAACTAGTAGCTAGGCCTACCCTAGTCACATATATATATATATATATATACAATAAATATCTATTTATTGATATACAATAACAGACATAAGCTTATATACCCATAAACATAAATAAACACACTATCACACACAAACAAAAATAAGCACTCGACTCATACTACTTTTCACCAACTTGCAAACAAGTTGGAAAAATATAACCAGGGTATTTAGACAAGGATGTTAAAAGGTTGGCTGAAAACCACAAGGTCCTTATCTGATACCGAAGTGAGAAACTCAAATTTAACACCGTTAAGACACGCCGATAACACAGCTATGGCTTAAAAACAATTGTTTCAGTACATTAAGGACACAATGATAGCGACAACACATCTAACGTGTTGGTGATAACTTGCAACAAGGTTTTAGGATAATGGGGTAGAAGGGGGGTTGGGGATACAAAGGTCTTAACCTATTTATCAAAAGTACATGAATCTTAGCTAAATTTGAATTGTAATGCAGCGAGTTCTTGGTTTTTATTCATTCAGTTACGACCAAGAAAAATAAAAGGGCATTTTTTTTTCAATATCTAGTATAGTACGTATCAAAATACTGGAACAAATATTTATAATAACTGCACTGAGCATTTGATATGGGACGACGTGGTCTAGTGTTGGAGCGCTAGACTTCTAACCCGATCATTTCGAGCTCGAATCCGTGTTCTAGTTAGTGGAACGTCTACCCATATCTGATGGGTATCTAACTCACGTTAGGGAAAGTAAAGACAGCTAGGTGCTGACCACACTATCTCTTCATATGATTAGGTCAAGAAACATATGAGCTCTACATCATCTGCCCAATGGATCGTTAAGTCGAAAGAGGAATCTTTACTTATACTGAGCATTTGTTAAGTAGGGGTCGATATATCCGTGTTAACAACTTAATAGGCGAAGACATGCTACAATAACATAAACGAGACTAAATGGATCGGCATGGTCGAACGCTAGACTGCTAAACCTAGAGTCGCGAGTTTGAATCCGGGTTCAAGTCCGTAGAACATCCCTGAGTCTATCCAGCTCCCACGAGTACTCAACTCAGTCGAGGGAAAGTAAAGTCGGCTGGGAAAAGTGTTGACCACACTATCAGTTTATATGCCGAGGTCACAGAAACAGATGCACTCTACTTCACCTGCTTCATAGACCATCAGGTTGAAGATTAGGCTAGGGCTGCCGGGTTTACATGGGAACAAATAAAGGGAGACGATCAAACCCCAGTCCGATGGAGAAGTGTGGCTGTAGTTCTTTGCTCCTGGGGGGGGGGGGGGGGGGGGGGGCACAAAAAAGTAAGTCAAGTATAATATGTGATCATGAGCTTCCCTACTTAACGTTTAACACAACACCAAAAGATACATTTTAAGTACGTCGTATCCAAAATAAACAGCGGTATTGATAGTAAACAAAAGCATAATAATTTTTCTTTAAAATTTATATTACTTTTTTTTTTTTTTGGTGCTCATAGTATTTTGTTGAATGAATACATAATAAATGAAAATGTCAAGTTCCACAAAAAAAAATGAAAGTAAGTATGTTGAAGATAAGTTATTTTAATACCATAACATAAAATAAAGAAAATTCTTATCAATAATCAATTCTCTATCACTGTCTCGAATATATCAACTTTGTCACAATTTGCACATGAATTTTATATTCAACATCTCAACAACTATTTCTGTATTGTCTTTATTTTATAAAGTATCTTGTTGACTGTAGAATATGGGCATAGATAATACACTTTTAAAATAAAAATAGTTCTCGAATTATAATGGCTGAGAGCTATTTTCATTCGAATGAAATTCATGTTTCAACCATTTTTTTTTTTTTAAATTAGATACAATTAATTAAAAAGTAACTTTACAATTTTGCTGTATTACTTTTTAAAAAAAAATAAATAAAATCAATCGACAAAAACTTTTCCCGAATACGACAAAGATTTTTATAAATTAGGATGAATCTAATTAACAATTAACTTAACGAATACGTTTGTCGTGCTTAACTGGATGTCGGTGAAATAAACTATTTTCTTCTACAATTCTATTTCCGTGTAAGAATTGCGATCATTTTGTAACCGATTCACGCTTTTGGATTTTAAAGTTCGGTTGTTTAAAAATAAAAATAAAACAATCGTGAAACATACAATTTCTGTTTCAATTTCATAAATCTGTTTGTTTTTCCTGGCTTGATTAGTAATCAACTTCGGGCGGTAGAACTGGTCTCTTCATTATTTGGCCTGTAACGAACACTTGTCTTTGGTTTTTTGCACCTTGAAATTTGCCAACACCTTGAGAAAAAATCAGCCATCACTTCTCGGTATTCGCCTCTAACCACTGTGTAGATGATAGGGTTGATGACCGAGCTAAGGAAAAACGAGCGCACGATGATGTTATACACGCCCATGTACGGCCCCTGTTCGTCGAGTTCAACCAAGATCTTGGTTACTTGGTAAATTAGGTGAGGGAGGTAACTCAATATATACGCGATGCTCACAGCTACGACAACGCGAGTTGCGTTCTTGGAAACTCGCTTTGGTTTTTGTTTAGTAGGGGAGGCCTTCACCGCAGGATAGTTTGGAGTTTCAAGCGTAGAGCCCAAAGGAGGCGGAGGTTTAAGATTTTCCTGGGGAATGTTTGGCAATAGTTTCACGACTTTTGGAACTGTTTCACTAGATTGTCTTCTTCCGCTTAATGGAATTTTAAAATCCCGTATCACACCAACTTTAAATATATCAGACATCGATGCCGCTGCCCCGCTGTTTTCGTTCATTTTTACTTTCGATGGTGATCCATTTTCCGGTAGGTTTTCTGCATTTTGGTTCGCCGCCCTTTTAGAGATATCATCCTCGACAACCACAGAAAACAGTTGCGAATGGTTGTTCTCATTTTCCAAATTAAATTTCAATGTACGAGTACTCACTTCTTTGCCTGGACTGCTCTGTTCTTTTTCTACTGAAGTGAGGTAATTCATACCTACGGCTATGTTGATTCTGGAATCGTGTTTACGAAGCACTGCCAGTATTTTTGTATAGAACACGCTCAAGATAATAACCTCTAACACAAAGGCAACAAATAAACACAACGTATACACCGCGGGCCACATTGTGCCTGCAAAGTGATCGGAGAATGTACAATCTTGTGAGCACAGGTTCGGCACTATAGTCGGCTTGGTCCTGATGCCGTAGAGAATGGGCGCCGGCCAGGAGAAAATCGCGGAACCGAAGACCAACAGGACGAAGGACCACTGCGCCTGCTTGACGGAGGGGGCGCGCCCCTGGGGCTTGCAGAACGTGCGATACCGGAAGTAGGCGATGGCCAGAAGGGTGCAGCTAGAACCCAAGGTGAAGAAGATGACGACAAACCTGAAACGGTTAGTGGAGATAGGATTAAACCTGCAGAAAACGTTAAGGAATACGGCTTGTAAGTAGGTCACCAACTTCTCGTACTTGCCAGCTAGTATTTTTCAAACTATAATTATATTTTTTATTAAATCGGTTATATATATATATATATATATATATATATATATATATATATATATATATATATATATATATATAAACATTAATTTCGTATTGTAACAAGCCTCTGTTCTATTTAGTCTTGTGTTTTGTAACCCGTTTGTGGGTGTGGGTCTTATATGTTGTCATTGGCGTCACTATGTTGGGTGTCACCCGGTGCGGCACTTCGTGGTGTCACCCCCCCCCCAACACACACCCCAGACTATAACTTAAATATATACCACATACCCGTACATTTATATGTAAGAGCTTTACTCTCTGCAGACTTAAGAGTGAGCATGTTTATCTTTAATACAGTTGGGTGTATAGTTAGCGTGTTTACTTCATGGTGTCACCCCTACCCTCTTGTAATAATTGTTGATTTGTACTTAAAAAAAAAAAACTATTTAATTTTAATTAATCATTAATGGAACTGGCTAAAAAAAGCATTTCTCTTCTGTACATTATTCAATTTTTTGCCTTGGTGTCCCCCCCCCATAAATGGTGTCACCCGGTGCGGTCCGCACCACCCGCCCCGCCCTCGTTACGCCTCTGTGTGTCTTATATGTTGTGCCACACACTTGATTACCCAATAAGGAAGTGTCAGAGTGTTCACACAGCTACCTACCTGAAGCTTTTGCAAAGTTCTTCCCCTTGGAAGGTGTAATAGTGAAGCATGTCGTGAATCTCAAAGGGCATGGAGAGCATGCAGGTCAGGAGGTCAAACACGGCCAGGTAGATTAACAGCACGCGCTGAACTGATTTTTGGACTCTGTGAAACGGATGGGTGAACGTGAGGGGGGCTTCTGTGTAAATATGAGGGGCTTGTGGGTAAACCTGAGGGGGGGGGCTTCTGGGTAAATGTGAGGGGCTTGTGGGTAAATGTGAGGGGGGCTTGTGGGTAAATGTGAGGGGCTTGTGGGTAAATGTGAGGGGGCTTGTGGGTACACGTGGGGGGGGGGGGCTTGTGGGCAAGCTTGAGGGAGGCTTGTGGGTAAACTTGAGGGGGGGGGGGCTTGTGGGTAAACGTGAGAGGGGGGGGGGGCTTGTGGGTAAATGTGAGGGGGGCTTGTGGGTAAACGTGAGGGGGCTTGTGGGTACACGTGGGGGGGGGGGGGGCTTGTGGGCAAGCTTGAGGGAGGCTTGTGGGTAAACTTGAGGGGGAGGGGCTTGTGGGTAAACGTGAGTGGGGCTTGTGGGTAAACTTGAGGGGGGGGGGGGCTTGTGGGTAAACGTGAGGGGGGCTTGTGGTAGACCTGGTGGGGAGGTAGAGCATACGACTGTATATCAGAGACGGGGGGGGGCTTGTGGGTAAACGTGAGAGGGGCTTGTGGGTAAATGTGAGGGGGGCTTGTGGGTACACGTGGGGGGGGGGGCTTGTGGGCAAGCTTGAGGGAGGCTTGTGGTAGACCTGGTGGGGAGGTAGAGCATACGACTGTATATCAGAGAGGGGGGGGGCTTGTGGGTAAACGTGAGTGGGGCTTGTGGGTAAACTTGAGGGGGGGCTTGTGGGTAAATGTGAGGGGGGCTTGTGGGTACACGTGGGGGGGGGGGCTTGTGGACAAACTTGAGGGAGGCTTGTGGTAGACCTGGTGGGGAGGTAGAGCATACGACTGTATATCAGAGAGTCTAGAGTTCGTGGTGGAACTTCCATGAGTCCATCCAGCTCTGGTGGGTATCTGACTCAGGTTAAGGGAAGTAATCAAGATGGCTGGCTATAGCGCTGACCACACTATCCCTTCACATTCCGTGGTCTGGGAAACAGCTGAACTCTACTTCACTTGCCCCATGGATCGTCATGTTCGAATAGGGAACTTTACGAATATGTGAAATAACTAATTATAATATTATATGCAGCTACGTAGGGCTATACAATAACTTTAACAAAAGTGTTTGACAAAAAAAAAAACATTGAGAAGACAAGCTTATATTTTCTGTTACTAGCTTTCAAATTAAAAAAAAATTATTATTATCGTATATCTTTATATAGAGAAAATATATATATATATATATATATATATATGGAGGCATCATAGCAAACAATGAAACATGTCAAAACAGAGACTTAAAAAAAAAAATCGTATATCTTTATATAAAAAATAATTAAACATTGCTTCTATCAAAAATGGGTTTTATTTTAATGAATTATTTATAATAATAATAATAATAATAATAATAATTATTATTATTGTTATAAATATATTATAATGATATTTTACATATCAATAACATCTTTATTTGCCCATCTATAAGCTTTCAAAACTAATGTCTAGTGTTATTAAATTTTTAAAACTAAAAACATGATTAGTAGCAAACTTTTTAATTTTTTTTTCTCTCTTTGGGATAATTAGCCTAAGGGCTTGACCTACGTGTAAATACCTTACCGCAGACGATTTAATTTTATAACGACATGTAATAACCTTACTGTAAACAATTTCTTCTTCTTCTTCTCCGTTCTTAATTTGTAACACTGAAATGGATGTTCTCCAACACAATTAAGTTATACGTGTCAACTTGTTATGCGCCATATCGGCTGTTAACTCTTATTTCAGCCTGCTTTTCTTTTTGGATTCGTTTCCATAGCCTTTTTTCCAACCAAGAACAAACTACAAGGCAGCAGTTTTTTTTTATTTTTGGAGTTATCTCTCCTAGAGTTGCTGTCCCAAGTTATCGCGCTGGGTCTAAACTGCATACCCGCGTTTAAAAATCTTACTAAATACTTTTCTGTAAAGACCTTAATTCAAATACTTTACAGGGTCGGCGTGGTCGAGTCGGTAAAGCTAATGGTTGCTAAACCGAAAAGTCTCGAGTTCGAACCCCCAGGCAGATGAGGCTCGTTAGCTGGGGGACAGCCATGTCTCTAGGAGAGACAACTCCAAAATCGCCTAGAAAAGCAGGCTGAAATCGGAGTCAATGGCCTCAATGGCGACTAACCAGTTGACACGTATCATTAATTGTGATGGAGGCGTGGTCGAGTCGGCAAAATCTCATGGTTGACAAATTCGAAAAAGTCTCGAGTTCGAACCATCTGGCAGATAAGGCTCGATTCCCCCCCCCCCCAACACTAAAAATTAAAAACGAAGAAGAAGAAGAAGAAATACTTTACACAGCATGTAAAGACATGTCATGGTCCTACCTGTATATAAACACAAAGATGACGGTGGAGTTACCCACTATTCCAATGAACATGAGCATCCCCATGAATATCATGGCTGGAGCCAACCTCATAACAATCGGGTCGTTAATGGCATTCAACTGCCGTAGTTCTTCGTCGCTGAGGTGGTATTTCCTTTCTTCAGGCATCTCTTCATTTGACCCGAAAGCTCACATCGTATACATACATATTCTTCTCTTCATTGTCAAAGTTATTTTTTTTTTAAAGTTTTAAATAGTTCATAATGTAGATCTAGAATTACCGATCAATTTGTCGTAAGCTTTTTTTTTTAAAGTTGAAATTTTCGTATAACAAATCAAAAGATTTTTTTAAATTATTTTTTTATGAATTCAAAATAAATATATAGATCTATATATAGGCCTACAGATTATGTATTTACAGTTTATCACGTAATTTAAGAATTGTAAAAATTTATATAGGTTGTTTAGATCCGTAGATTAGTTATAATAGTTATGGATTTTCAACAACACACACCTTTTCGATAAATCTAGTTCTAAATTATAGAATTCTAGTACACTTAAATTAAGGTAAAACTGATTTTTCCTTAGCTAATTAAAATGTTTACAATGAAAGATATTCGCTAACCATGTCCATATTTTTCCACATAGAATTACATAAAATAGCGATAGTTTAGAAAAATTATTTTAATTTCTAATTTTATATCACATAAACAAATTCATTTCCGTTCAGTGTTCTTTATTTAGCCTATCGGGAATTCCACCTAGGATGGGTGCACAATCAAAAAGCAAATTTTTGTTTTTAGGTAGCGCATGCATAAATCCAAGATGTAAAATTAAGAAAAATTTCGGCTAAGTTTAGCGCGGGAACAAAGCTCAGTGGTAGAGCATTCGACTGCAGATCAAGAGGTCCCATGGTTCGAACCCGGTTGTTCCCTAATGTTTTTGTACTTTTAATTTCTAGTATATTTTGAAATCAATCCCGCCATTTTTGACAAAATAATACCAGAGAAAGGAAGTCGCTAAAAAGTTTTTTTTTTTTATCTTTTCTATCTTTTGTTTTTAAGATCATAATAATGTACTCTGCCATTAAAAAAAATAACCAGAAAAGAACATTTAGAAAGCTAAACTGAACAATTAGTTTCATGGAGAAATTTTCATTTATCGCAAACTGAACATGAAATGAGTTTACATTCTATGAGTAAGTTCCATTTTTATTTCAGACTAAATAAACACTTTGTTTTCATTCATGGGAAACCGTGGCACAGCAGTAAAGCGATAACCTGAAAGTCTCGAGTTCGAATCCGAGTTCAAGAAAGTAGAACATCCCTGAGTCCACCCAGCTCTGATGGGCACCTACCTAACGTTGGAGGAAGTAATGGGGGGTTGTAAATAGTGCTAACCACACTATCGCTTCGTATGCCGAGGTCACATAAACAAGTAAACTCTACTTCACTAGCCCCATGGACAGTCATTCATTAAAAAAAATTCTTTTTTTTTTCAAACTGACCAACATTAAGTCTATCCCCCCTGTGATTTGTTCTATTTGAGCGCCTTGTAATCTCATGTTTTAGCGTATCTTTAACAAGTAACTTAATTGATTCTTTTAGAATGTTTACTTATAGAGAGAACTTGCAATTAGCTACGCCTCTGACTGTTTAGATAATCTAGAGTTTAGCCACAGGCGTAGCGATATTATTTGACGCCCAGGACGAACTATCAGTTTTGCGCCCACTCCCAAAATTAGGTGTACGAGCCGACCCGCTGCGTATCATACGCCGCTATTTAGTTGTTTTATTTTCTACTTTTCATTTATTCATAATTTGTGAATTTGACAGTACCAATGCTGCCACTGAAAATATTTGCTTTAAAACACGACCCCCCCCCCCCCCCCAAAACCCTACGCTACACCTCCCCCCCTTCCCCCCGTGAATGCAGCCTTCTCTTAGTTACCTCCTGTAAGTTTAAAATCGTTTCAAACTAAATTATCTGCCCCTAATAGCCGTCAACAAACCCAGCTCTACGATTTGTAAACATTCATAGTGAACACCGCTCACCAGATCATGTGGGGGTGGGGTGGGGGTGGTAGTGATAGTGATAGAGAGGAAGAGAGGGGACTGCAAAGGCGCGCTTGCAGCTTGTTAACACGTTTTTCTTAACTCAGCTTCGCGTTTGTTTGTTTGTTTGTTGTTAAAATTGACATCGAAAATTAGCCCACTTCTGATTGCTCTATAGATCTGAAATTTGGCATGCAGGCTACTTTCGCCTAACAATTTCAGATGCAATCATAAAAACTAGCAATTAAAGATCGTAATTAGCTTAATTTAATTACGCCCTAAGGACCATAAAATTGAGGACATGATTTCTAAAGATACCGACAAGACTGAAGGCCTATTGACACAGTTACTTCGGCCCCAATCGATGTGAGCGCGCTGGCCGTGATCGTATAGTGGTTAGTACTTCGCGTTGTGGCCGCGACAACCCAGGTTCGAATCCTGGTCGCTCAAGATTTTTAGTCCGTGTAATTATAAACACTTTTTTAAAAACCACGTTTTTCATGTGTAGCAACGGACTAAAAAGGAGAAAATAAAATACTTAAAAAAAACTTAAAAAAAAAACACGTTTTTTATGTGTAGCAACGGACTAAAAAGGAGAACGGACACGGTAACACATTGTTAACGGTGACACGGTTGGTACGCTGGGCATGCTAAAATACACATAAACACGTTTTTCCTTAACTCAGCTTCGCGTTTATTTGTTTGTTTATGGGAGATTTGATCACGTGATTCGTGAGTAGATCTCCACGCCAGCAACGTAAATTACACCCTTTCTCTGTTTAAAGCGTATCGGTCGCTCAAGATTTTTTTAGTCCGTGTATTTAAAAACACTTAGTCAAGTCATACTTAATCAAGTCATTAGATAAAGTAGAAAATAAACTATATAAAAAACTTTTTTAAAAACCACGTTTTTCATGTGTAGCAACGGACTAAAAAGGAGAAAATAAAATACTTAAAAAAAACTTTTTAAAAAACCACGTTTTTTATGTGTAGCAACGGACTAAAAAGGAGAAAATAAAATACTTAAAAAAAACTTTTTAAAAAACCACGTTTTTCTTGTGGACTAAAAAGTAGAAAATAAATTTTCATACATTTGATGACAAAAAACGTGGGTCGGGCAGATGGGTCGGGAAATTTGATGGTGAACGTACCCACGTTTTTTGTCATCAAATGTATGTAAATTTATTTTCTACTTTTTAGTCCACAAGAAAAACGTGGTTTTTTAAAAAGTTTTTTTTAAGTATTTTATTTTCTAACTGATCCCAGAAGAGAATTATATATATAGATGTATAGTTATTCGCGTTAGCGCCCGCGTCCTCCTCATTTGAAAAAGATCGGGGCACTTTTGACCAGTCACTTTTCCTTTTTATTTTGGTGTCTCACAATTTATGTAGAATACAATTAAATAATCCCGTAATGCCAAGTAGCAGTCTTTACTTCGACTGTACATAATTTAGCAATTATTATCTACCACGTTTGGCGCCCTCTTTAGGTCGGCGTTTGGGTAGGCCGCCCCACCCGCCATCCCCTAGCTACACCTCTGAGCTTAGCTAGAATGGCGAGAACTTACTGTCAGTCCAAAACAAACGTGGTTACTGAAGCTAAAGTTAGGCAAGGGCAGAGGCGTAGCGAGGGGGGGGGGGCGGACAGCACCGGGTGACACCATTTAGGGGGGTGACACCATTAAGTGCCGCACCGGGTGACACCCGACCTCGCTACGCCACTGGGCAAGGGTATGGGGAGGAGATCACCTTGTTGGATAAAATTAAATCCTCGAGTAAAAGAATCAAACACATAAAAATTTAAAACAAGCATATTTTATTTACATACATAATCAATTAGATGCTTTAAAAGATTTTATTTTCACGCTACACTAATTCACGCACCACTGAATCTTACTATTAAACTCTCACATTTGAACTACATGTCGTTATATTTTTTATAAATACAATTACTGTTTTTTTAAATGCAGTTTGGTCGTGTCCTGTGAAGTAAAAAAATCTACCCCACGTAATTAGTCTTAGGGGAAGCTTACAGATAGGCCAATAGCCTGCTTTAATTAATTACTTAATTACTGTTTAGCTCCTAAAAAAATTGAATTGAGCTATAGCTCTGCTGTGTAAATTATAATATAATGGCCCTATAAATTCTAGGCTATATTACTTAATAGCCTATTTTAAATGCATTACTTATGCTCTTTGTATTCCGATGTATTTCTATAGAAATAACATTCTCAAAATTAGGCATTATTCACAAATATTATGTGTTTTATCTGCGTTACTCATTTAAACATAATTAAAATTAGTTTAAAAAAAACGTTATAAAATACAGTTTAAGCAATGGCTTAGGTAATTGCAAGCGAAATAAATTTCAAAATTCAAATACGCTTGCTGAAAATAAAAATAAGGACGGTAATAAATATGTTAGAATTTAGCTTTGGAATGAGAACTTTTTAGCGCAAGGAGGATTTTCGTAGCTCATGGTAAAAATTAAGAATTAGTAGGGTGGGGGGGGGGGGGGGGTGAAGGGTGGGTGGGGGGGGAGGGGCGAAGGGGCGGACACAATACCAGTAAGTATAAGATAACTAGCTAAAGATAGTGAATACACTGGAGCTGAGGCAATGGGAATAAATTATTCTCTAAAAATTTGAACTAATTGAACTTAAAGGCTTTCAGGTCAGCAGATGTTAACTGATGGGACGGCGTGGTCGGACGGCTGAGCGCAAGACTACAGACCCAAAGGTCTCGAACTTGTATCTCGGGCTTGAGTCCATAGGACATCATTGAGTCCACTCAGCTCTGATGGGTACCTGACTCGCGTTAGGGAAAGTATAACCCAACGGGTAACATTTTAATTGCTAATTAAAGAGTTAAAAGATGCTAAATTATCGGTGGGAAATTTAACTCCAGCTTAACGCAGGTAACCAATGGTAACCACTAGCCTATGCTGTGTATTTATAGAAGCATTACCTAATCATAACAGCAAGTTCTATGATATTCTATACGGGCATCATCGTCTCAGGAGTTGTCTCCCATATTAGGCAGACTAGGCCTCAACAGCTCTGACCGTCGGTATTCGAGTGAGTAGTGTTTGATTTTATTTAAGCTTGAGGTAACTAACATCAAGTAGCACAGCTTAATCTCGATAATTGTAATGACCGTCAGCTTTTCAAAACTTTGTTTTTGTATTAACCAGAGTTCTTTCAGGCATCTCTTCAGAAGTAAGTCTACCGCCCTCCCCCTCCCCCCCCCTAATGAAATGGAAGTTATATAGAAAATATATACTTTTAACAGTGTCAGCCTTCCCCCCCCACCTCCCCCCCCCCCGGAAAATTTAGCCCGTCACCCGAAAATATCAAGTGCCCCCCCCCCCCCCCCGGAGAAAAAAAGCTGGAAGAAACCCTGGTATTAACTAACGACTTGGAATCATATGGTCATTAGGACTAATTAATTCAGACAATGATCGCTGCTACTTTTTTTATAAATGCTACTTAATCTCGATAAAAGTCATCAAAATTAGTTATATAATCGCTACATAATCAAGAAAATAATCACTGGGTAATGGCGACATATCAACATAAACATAACATGAATGGCAACCGGGTTTGGCTAATCGCCTTATATGGCAATTATAGTCGTCATCTATACATACATCTGTAAAAAAAATGTGTTAGCAAAACGTGTCAAACTTTAACCTTAACACGGGGTTTAAACCTAACCTGTAATCGTGTTTAGAATAATATCAATTCTGGCAGTAGAGTATCGATACTGTTTGACTCTCCGCTTTAGAGTATTTCAGTATCGTAAATATTTATTTATGTAAATAAATAAATAATATTTTTATTTCAATGGTTAGACATGTTTTATCATTGATGCATAATAAGAAAAAAAATAACAATTTGGTTATTAATATCTTGGAACTAATAATTCTAAATTAATCCATTCTTTGTGTCTTAGATGGAATCATTGGTCAAAATTTCCGTAATTTATATCTTAGAACTAACTATTTCTCAACCAAATTCTAAGATCAATATCTTAAAACCAAATATCTGTAAACAAAAATTCCTAGATTTATCTCTTAGAACCAAACATTCGAATCAATGACGTCACTTCGTTCCTGAATTTCACATTGAGAGCGCCGTAGATGAAGGGATTCGATACCGAGTTTATGAAGTACGATCTCAAAAAAATATTGTAGGCGACGAATCCGGGGCCTTGCAGATTGTAATCGAATCCTTTATTTAGCAGTTTGGCAACTTGGAGCGAGAGGTGGGGCAGGAAGCTCAAAATGAACACCAGCGTCACAAGAAACGCGATGATGGTCGTCTTGCTGCGAACTCTCCGTCGCTTAGGTTTAGGATTCTTCGGGTAGGTGAACGATTCGTGTGGCTCGAGAATGGCTATTTTTAGATCCTTTCGGGTATACCCGTTTTTGTTTGTTACTAAAATAGACGGCTTTCGGCCGACGGCGTCTGTTTTGACCGCTGGGATGAGCGTGACGTCATGTGTTGATGAACGCAGCGACGCTGCCGTGTAGGAGATATCCGCGTGCTCTGACGTCATATCCGGATGAGGTGTGTTGTTTTGGTGGGTTGAGAGTTCATCTGCGCATGGGGTGATTTGGATATTGGGGCGGTCTTCGGAGGTGTAATCGAAGGCAGCGCTGTTGTAGATGACTAGGGCGGGGACCGAGGGGGAGGCGGAGAAATTGGAGGCGACGGGGGTCAAGTCCAGACTGGACCCCGAATCGTCCGCGCAGCCGCTCGACCCCGACGAAGGGAGGTTAAAATCGGAGTTCCTTTTCATGTACTTGTTATGTCGATTTGTCTCCCTTAGCACACAGAAATAAATCGCGGCCAGCGCGATTGTGAGAATGATAAAACACAAAAACAGAACGAGGTTGTAGATTAACGGAAGCACCGTGTCCCCGATTCCATCAGCCGTGGAACAATCACGGCCGAAAAGACCGGCAATTCCGGTCTCAGTTGTGCGGAGACCGTACATGACGAAAGCCGGCCAGGCGAAGAAGATGGCGCCGCCGATGATGGGGATGAGGGAGAGCTTGATGTGCCGGTTCCGCATCTGGGATTTAAAAGGCCGGCAGATTTTCCGGAACCGGTCGACGGCGATGACGAGGAGGGTGAAGATGGAGCCGATGGCGCAGAAGGTGTTGATGAACCTGGGGATACATTAATTAGGAATATTAATTACTAGTTAATTAAATTAAATTAATTTTAATTTGATTTTTTTATTTATCCTCTCTCTTGGGTCCATCAGCTGTGTAGAGAGAGATAGAGGGAGGGGGGGGGGGAAATAAACACACGGGTAACATCTGCCTCGTCTCATCTTACTGCCCAGCTTAGCCATGGGATTTCCCATGCGCAATCATGTTGGCTTGCGCATTGTGCATTAACGCCATGGTTACTTGATGTTATTACTTGATGTTATTACTTGATGTTGTTACTTGATGTTGTTACTTGATGTTGTTACTTGATGTTATTACTTTATACTGTTACTTGATGTTATTACTTGATGTTGTTAAGTGATGTTAATACTTAATGTTATTACTTGATGTTATTACTTGATGTTATTACTTGATGTTATTACTTGATGTTATTACTTGATGTTATTACTTGATGTTGTTACTTGATGTTATTACTTGATGTTATTACTTGATGTTATTAGTTGATGTTATTACTTGATGTTATCACTTGATGTAGTTACTTGATGTTATTACTTGATGTTATTACTTGATGTTATTACTTGATGTTATTACTTGATGTTATTACTTGATGTTATTACTTGATGTTGTTACTTGATGTTATTACTTGATGTTATTACTTGATTTTGTTACTTGATGTTATTACTTGATGTTATTACTTGATGTTGTTACTTGATGTTATTACTTGATGTTATTACTTGATGTAGTTACTTGATGTTATTACTTGATGTTATTACTTGATGTTATTACTTGATGTTATTACTTGATGTTATTACTTGATGTTGTTACTTGATGTTGTTACTTGATGTTATTACTTGATGTTGTTACTTGATGTTATTACTTGATGTTATTACTTGATGTTGTTACTTGATGTTATTACTTGATGTTGTTACTTGATGTTATTACTTGATGTTATTACTTGATGTTATTACTTGATGTAGTTACTTGATGTTATTACTTGATGTTGTTACTTGATGTTATTACTTGATGTTGTTACTTGATGTTATTACTTGATGTTATTACTTGATGTTATTACTTGATGTTGTTACTTGATGTTATTACTTGATGTTATTACTTGATGTTATTACTTGATGTTGTTACTTGATGTTATTACTTGATGTTGTTACTTGATGTTATTACTTGATGTTATTACTTGATGTTATTACTTGATGTTATTACTTGATGTTATTACTTGATGTTGTTACTTGATGTTATTACTTGATGTTGTTACTTGATGTTATTACTTGATGTTGTTACTTGATGTTATTACTTGATGTTCTGCCTAAAGTGAAATATTGCGGGTACGCCTATGCCTTTTAGTAGCGGAATTACAATACCCTTCCTCCACTCCCCTCCCTACCTCCTCCAATCCCCACTCCCCCTCTCAACTGCCCCTCACTACCCCTCCACTCCCCTCCCTACCCCCACACCCCTCCACACCCCTTCAACTACCCCCTACCTAACCCATCCACTCCCCTCCCTAACCCTCACTACCCCTACACCCATTCACTACACACTCTACTACCCCCTCAACTAACCCCCTCCCTACCCCTCCCACCCCCTTCTCTACCCCCTCTCTACCCCCACACCCGTTCACTACACACTCTACTACCCCTCAACTAACCCCCTCCCAACCCCTTCCACCTTCTTCTCTACCCCCTCTACTAACGGCTACTGTCGCCCCACCTATAGACCAAATCATGAAAATGTATTCAACAAAATATCCGTGTCTTTGTCTAAACTAGTCCCCCCCCCCCACCCTACACTTCTATTCAAACCCGGATCTAAACCCATCTATGCTTTGTACTTTAATAAGTACTGTTTATTTGAATGAGGGGAGCGAACTCTATTATGTTTACATTATTATCTGTTTATTCACAACATAAACAGGTGCTTTGACCTACATTTCGCCGTTCATGTAAACAGTGTCATATTTTAACACGTGTGCTGTGTGTTAGTATCAATGATGTTCTACTTGATATCCTTGACCTAATTAACACATATTTTGTCAAAATCATATTTGTAATTAATAAGTTAACGTGTAAAATTGTAAATAATTACCAAGAAAATTATGGGCCTGCCATATTTAAAGTTGTTAATTAGATTGCCTTTGCGTATAAAGAGAGCAGTAGGGGCGACTATAAGATTTCCCACTCCCCTTTTCAATGGAACCCTCAAAACATGTCGTACAGTAAGCTCTACAGTTATAAGCAATACAGTTATACAGTTATAAGCTATACAGTTATAAGCTATACAGCTCTACAGTTATAAGCTATACAGCTCTACAGTTATCAGCTATACAGCTCTACAGTTATAAGCTATACAGTTATAAGCTATACAGATATACAGTTATAAGCTATACAGCTATAAGCTATACAGCTCAACAGTTATAAGCTATACAGTTATAAGCTATACAGCTCTACAGTTATCAGCTATGCAGTTATAAGCTATACAGTTATAAGCTATACAGCTATAAAGTTATAAGCTATACAGCTCTACAGTTATCAGCTATGCAGTTATAAGCTATACAGTTATAAGCTACACAGCTATAAAGTTATAAGCTATACAGCTCTACAGTTATCAGCTATGCAGTTATAAGCTATACAGTTATAAGCTATACAGCTATAAAGTTATACGCTCTACAGCTAAACAGTTATAAGCTATACATCTATACAGTTTTAAGCTATACACCTACATAGCTATACTGCTTTATAGCTAAATAGCTATACAGTATAGCTATACAGCTATAAGCCAGACCATTTTAACATGATCCCACCCATTGTTAGTGGTGACACACGACTCACCAATTTCAATGGTTTACGCCCAAGGTTAAAGTGGTGGTCTAATTGTGAGGGGATTTATTAAGTGTAGAGGTGGGTAAAGAGGGGGAGAGGTGTAGAGGTAGGCGAAGATGTTTGACTTTATTTAGACCCGAAAAGTTCCATACTACGGAGAATAGAATCGCTGACCACCCTTCATATCCTAAAGTCACAGAAAACAGGTGAACTCTACTTTACTTGCTCCATGGACCGTCAGGTTCGATAAGGGAACTTTATTTACAACTAGTCTACACTACATTAAATGGGACGGCGCTAGAGCGTAAACTGCTAACACGAAAGTCCTGAGTCTACCCAGCTCTAATGGGTACCTATCTCATGTTAGGGAATTAAAGGCGGCTGGACAAAGTGCTGATTACACCTTCCCTTCATATGCCGAGGTTAAGAAACATATGAACTCTTCTTCATCTTCTTAATGGGTCACTAGGTTAAGTGAGGATTCTTTACTTGTATTCTCACATTACATTTTCACGTGTGTTAAAGTTTCCCTTTCAAACCTGACGGTCTATGGGGCAAGTGAAGTAGAGTTCACTTGTTTCTGTGACCTCGGCATATGAAGAGATAGTGTGGTCAGCACTATGCCCAGCCGCCTTTACTTTCCCTAGCGTGATTTAGGTACAGAGTTGGGTTTAGTCAGGGACGGTCTACTGACTTGAACTCGGATTCGAACTCGAGACTAACTGGTTAGCAGACCAGCTCTCTACCGCTAGACCACTCCGTCCCACTATTGCCCATTTACACATCGGTAATTGATTATTTCCTGTAAACAAACTAGTAATCGATTACTTCTTACCTCATTATTTTACAAGCCGCCACGGAATCGAACATGAAAAAGAATCGCATGTCCGCGATCTCGTTCGGTATCGATAAACAGCAGCTGAGCAGATCGAACACGGCCAAGCAGACGATGAGAATGTTCTGGGTGCCCGTCTTCATCTTGAAGCAGAAGACATACACCACCAGCGCGTTGCCAGGGATACCAATGACCATCAGGACGCCCAGCACCACCATGGCTGGGATGAGTTGCTGGGCGCGTTCGTCGTTGATGGTCTCAAGGCTCGGTGTGCTGGCGTTGGGGCCGGATGTGGCCAGGAGCCCGGTCAAGGTGAAGCTGTTGCCGGTTGTTGTCGGCTGGGACCCCAGCGGTGAGACGGAAGTGACGTCAGTGAAATTGGAATCCAGCATGTTTAATTATCTTTTCACTTTCAAAGAATCTTCAAAGAAACACGTCGATAACACAATATTGACTCCGATTAATACTGAACATTGGAAATATATTCGATCTCTTCATTTCTAAAAAAAAAATATTCAATTTCTTTTCAATCTGAAGTTTATTATTTATCGAAAAATAATTTATTTTATTTTATCGTAATCGCAAATAAATCGGCAATTTACATAAATAAGTAAACTAGAGTTCGAATTAGTTAATATGAGACGTTTATGTAAAACAAATATTACTTATTTTAAACCATTGTCACTTTTCTATGTTCCTTTGTTAACAAAAGTCCATTTCATGAAAACAAATGATAATCCGTTTAAAACCGCGATCAATCTAATGAGCACTGCAAGCTTTGAATGGGCTAAGCCGCTTGTTGTAAACATCATTATACATCAATGTACACATCATTATACATCATTGTACAAGCACTTGACCACATCTGCTGTGATCGTGCTTTAAAGTGCAGTCAATCGTGGTCTCATCACGTGACCAGCAACCGCACGTGCTGTGAGTGGTTGTCGCGTGCGACCTATGACCCCCACAGTAAAGGGTCAGATGTTCCGTTTTTTTTTTGTTTTTTAGTTTTTGAGTTCTCGATGTTTAATTTTATGCGAAATTTACATGGATTGATCCGCGAATGTAATGTGGATTGTTTACAAGCATCTGCACCACATTTTTGTTTTACTTGATGTATCTCAAAATTTGGCGTTCAGCCAATAGACTTCAGCATCGTTTAAAGTTGTTTCCATTTTCCTGGAATATTTCTCAACAATAGTCCGTCTGGTTCTTTGGTTTCTGTTGAAGGAAAAAAAATGGTACTTGTTCAACTATTAAAAGCTACTTACGCTAGTATCGCTATCATAATTATAACCCTCGCCCCTAATCTAAGACCCTAAACCTAGCATTGATACTTTCTTTAATCCTAACTCTTATAGTGATATTAAAAGCAAGGTTAACCAGATTCCGTGCAATTATTTTGTTTTTCGAAAGTAATGTTTTCGGGAAAAATAATTTAGTACAAAATTGTAAAAGTAATCGAATAGTTGTATAACATATTGTGTTTCATTTTTATTTTGCTAGTAGAAAAATGTTTGTTTCCTTTAAGATTTAAGCATTCTTGTTTACACTTTTTAATGAGACTGTGTTCTAAAATTAATGCTAGAGTTATTTATACAGTCGTTGGACTTGGCACACGTCCAGCTCGACACACGTCTAAGCTGACTCACGTCCATCATAACACAGTAAAATATAACACACTTGTATCATAACACAGTAGAACATAACACACGTCCATCATAACACAGTAAAATATAATACACTTCTAACATAACACAGGTTTAACATAACACTCGTCCAATGTAACACACGTCCGACATTACATATGTCCAACATAACACACAGTACAACATAACACACGGTACAACATAACACACAGTACAACATAACACAGTACAACATAACACTGTAGTCTACAACATAACACATGTCCAACATAACAAAGTACAACATAACACAGTACAATATATTAAAGTACAACATAACACTGTACAACATAACACACGTCCGACATAACACACGTCTCACATAACAACCGTCCAACATAAAAAAGTACAGCATAACACAGTCCAAAATAACAAAGAACAACATAACACACTTCTAACATAACATAGTACAAAATAGCACACGTCCAACATAACACACGTCCAACATAACACGATACAACATAACACGATACAACATAACACACGTCCAACATAACACACGTCCAACATAACACGATACAACATAACACGATACAACATAACACACGTCCAACATAACACACGTCCAACATAACACGATACAACATAACACGATACAACATAACACACGTCCAACATAACACAATGCAACATAGCACGTCCAACATAGCACACGTCTAACATAACACACGTCCAACATAACACACACACAACATAAACACGTCCAGCATAAAACACGTCCAACATAACACACGTCCGACATAACACAGTACAAAATAACACGTCCAACATAATACACACCCAATGCAAAACAGTCACAACATAACACACTTCCAAAAATGAATATCCTACATGCATAATACACATTTCAAATATATGTCAAACATTACAATACACTTTAAATGCAATAAACTCATAGTAAACACATCCTAACTAACATTATGTGTAGTAATATACATACGTGCTACACATCCAAGCAAAGCTTAACACTGCATCAACACAAATCTAACACAACACACAGTCTGTAACAAGGCAACACACCTAATAAAATCGCCTATCCAAGTGCTGATTTAACATACTACCAGCCGGTCATCACAAACTATATGTTACCGTATGTATCCACAAATAGCATGCATACAATCTGTCCGCTGGCGACATATGACAGTCATGAGAAAACGTCACACCGCATATCCTGTAGGCATGTTACCTTTTTTTTTAAATTCGTGTAAGGGACGTAACTCATGAGATGTCCGTAACTTTCACAAGTAAGGGACATAATTCACGAGATATCCGTCTTACCTGTTTATTTTTAAAACTTGGGTTTTTCCCCTATTCAAAATTATTTCCTTTTCTTTTTAATTTTTTGCTGCATTTCCCGAAATTAGGGAAATACTGTCTTTTTTAGACATAATTAATTTTAACCCCTTGAAATCTCATCCCCGCCCCCTACGTTGGTACATAAATAAATAAATAAATATTATATATATATATATATATATATATATATATATATATATATATATATATATACATATATATATATATATATATATATATATATATATATATACATATATATATATATATATATATATATATATATATATATATATATATATATATATATATATATATATATATATATATATATATATATATATACATATACATATATATATACATATATATACATATATATATATATAAAGATACATATATATATATACATATATATATATACATATATATATATATACATATATATACATATATATATACAGATACATATATATATACATATACATATATATATATATATATATATATATATATATATATATATATATATATATATATATATATATATATATATATATATATATATATATATAGTACTTAAGAACTATTTCACTATACCCAACAATCGGCAACCCACACTTTCTATAAGCCATACAATCGACTACCTGTTTTAGCTATCCCTAATACACATCACTATTTGTATGATCACACACTAACCCACACAAAACTCTACCGCTTTGTCTATCCCTAATCCACATCTCCCCACCCACCCCCCTCCCCCCCCCCCCCAACAGGTTTAAACCACAGATACAGATGTCGCCAGAGATTAGCGACCCTGACTATTTTTAACACTAACACAACAGGTAGTTGAACGGGTCGCGTTAATCCAGAGTTCAAATATCGAAAACAAAAACATATTTGTTCATGACTTAGCCTAGCACTCAGGGTACCGCTGGGGTCCAATGTTACAATTAATGAGGAAGGTTAAAAGAAGTTTTGAGCAAATAAAACATAGCACTGAACTCAATGTAAATATTCTCCATGGTAGAAAACAATTTTTTTTCTTCTTTTTTTGTCAGCAAGTAGCCAAGTAGCAGTGTTTTTCCCAGACTTTTTTCTTCTGGGGGGTGGGGGCACTTGAAATTTTCGGAGGTGGGGGGAGGACTAAAAATTCCGGGTGGGGTGGGATGGAACACTGTTAAAAGTATATATTTTCTATTTTTCTATATATATTCAATTTCTTGCGGGGGGGGGGGGGCGGTAAGAGGTGTAACGACCCTTACCGGCGCCCGGGGACAAACTTTCAAGTTTGTGTCTCCCCCCCCCCCCCCCCAACTATATATATTTTATATTCATAATGCAAAACTGCAGCTAGAATGACCTTTTAATTATTTTCCAACCCATTTAGGTGCTCCCTATGGTCGGCGCCCGGGTACATATGTAACCCTCCCCCCGCCCCCCCTTCCCATCGCTACGCCTTTGCGGTAAACCTCCCCCCCCCCCCCGAAGAAATGCCTGGTAGAAACACTGGCAAGTAGCGACTGAACTACTATTGTACTTGAATGTTGAAGAGAAGAAAATGTGATACAAAAAACTATGTAAGGTAGACTGCACAGCAGACAAAGAATGAAATGTGACTTTGATGAATGTAGGTGTGACTCCTATAGGCGTGTGACTGACGATAAACGTATCTAGATAGACATCCCACAGGACATATGGAGGATAATGGTATGCGTGAAGCGGTTAAATTAGATATTCATTTTTATTCATTGTTTTTTTTTAAATTTTGTAAGCCTGTTATTGTCTGGCGTTATTGTGGGTTTATATATATATATGTAACGAGCGAACAGTTACCCTGCTCGCAACGCCACATGTTACGAGACTATTTGCCTGTAGTGCCAAATGTAACGAGTTTAACCACTCATGCTACACAACATCGACTACAGTAGAAAGACTCGAAGATGCAGGTTCGCTATTGATCCTTTTATTACATGCATCAAGAAATGCTTCAATATAACACAAAGAATCAACAGGAATGCTTCACAATAATAGTCTGAATCAACTGACCCCTAACAGTCCTCACTAGGCTTCATATAACTGAATCCACATGTCTATTGTCCTTCTTAACACAACATAACCAACTTGATATGTCACACAGACTGACTGATCTAAAGCGAGCGATCGAAAAGGGAAGAGAACGAGTTCAGTCGTCCCCTCCTATTTATCCCTTGTATTCGTACTCGTCCTCGTACTTGTATTCCTCCGTAATCGATACTTGTACTCGATGTCTCCGACTACTAGTTGCGCAGTTCTAACGTACAGTCCGTTTAATAAACATCTGCATCCTATCAATCAAAGTTGACAGGCCGTCTGAATCCCCTCGTACCGTTTCCCAAAATAGCACGCGTTGGCTTTGAGATTGTTATCAGTCCGATCTAATAAGCCACCTGCTATCAGTTGCATCAGACTGTAATACTGCGTCTCGGCTTATCGTTCGTTATCAGATTTGTAACTAGTAGCTAGGCCTACCCTAGTTACATCCACCCCTGCTTTTTTTTTTGTGTGTTTTCCACCACAAACAACGCCTGGCAGGTGCATTCCTCCAAAGTCAAT